TTAGAGTTTCTCAACTATGATTGAAAACCCACTACAAGTGTAGTATCCACCTAGGCCTACCTCCGTGTCATCCCCATAGGACTTGGGGGAGAAGGGGAACTGATGTGCACATGAAGCTCATGCTGTGATTACTACAGTCATTTTACTCTGACCCAGGAGTCTTCTGCCAGCATTTGTCAAACTGTGGCACGTGAGTTTGTTAGCTTGCAAGTGGGGTAAAATCTTAGACTCTGTAATTCTTGAAACGCGAGAGAAGACACTTGTCCGTCTCCTTCCGAGAGGATAAGAATCTAGCTGCCAGCCTTCTAGGAGCTGAGTACAAGAAGAATTTTGGGAGTCTCTGCATTCAGTATTCAGTATGCATATACTCAGAGCCTCGTGCTCTAGTCTTGTCAGGTGACTTCCAGTTCAGAAGGCCCCTGTTTTTTCTTCTCCAGGGAATAAACCCCCAGATTTTTTCTAGGGTGAAGGAGAAGCAGTAATCTAGTGGCATGTAGTAGAGGAGAGGACATGAGGATCTGTTCTAGTCTTTGCTGATATACCACCTTATCAATAAAGTATTATTTTATTAATTTAGTTATTCATTTTTATTCTCTGTCAAACTGTCCACCATCACCACCCCCCATGCCGCCCTTAGAATGTAAGTTTCATGAGCCTGGAGATTTTTGTCTCTTTTATTTTACCTGTTGCCCACTGCTCCTGGTTTGAGAATAAAATTAAGCAGCAGTTTGTTATCTGTGGAGCTTTGGTGGTACGGTGGTTAAGAACTTGGCTGCTAACCATAAAGTTGGCAGTTTGAACCCACCAGCTGCTCATTGGAAACCATATGATGCAGTTCTACTCTGTCCTATAGGCTCACTATGAGTCAAAATCGACTCAATGGAAATGGTTTTTTCTTATCTATAAGACACTGGTACATCTTTTTAAAAGCTTAAGTATTGATATCAATTCAGGATATAGGCAACTTTCACTGAAGATTCATTATTGTTAGTAATTCCAAAACAGTTTAGAATTATGAATTTTGTGTATAATTTTTTAATCCAGTGATAGAGTCTTTTTTAGAGCATTCCTAAAGGCAGTCTTCTTTCTTCTGTATGAGCATTTCTAGCGCTCTCAATAAATACTGGATATATTTTGTTGGTAGAACCAATAGGGTTTGCTGAAGAATTGGATGTGGGACACAGAAGAAAGAGAAGAATCAACAGAGATCCCAGGGCTAGTGAGTGGCAGAGCCAGGATTCAAACCCAGCCAGTCTGGTTCTAGGGTCTGTGCTCTAAACCACTACGCTATTCTGCTTCTTGGATGATATCCAGCCAAAAAAGACTAGAAAGAAATGACCCGTGAGGTATGAGCAAAACCAGAAGAGTGTGATGTCCAGGAAGCCAAATTAGTGTTTCAAGAATGCAAGTATGTGTCACTGTGTCAAATGCTGATGATAGGTCGAGTAAGATGACATCTGAGAATTGACCATTGGATTTAGCAAAGCAGAAGTCATTGCTGATATTGATAAGAGTAGTTACAGGTTCAAAGTCTGGTTGGAATATGTATTAATTATCTATGGCTCTATAAAAATATACCCCAAAACTTATCAGTTTAAAACAACAAACCCTTATTATCTCATACTTTCTATGGATCAGGAATCCTGAAGTGGTTTAGCTGGTGCCACTGGCTCAAGGTCTCTCATGAAGTTGTAGTCAAGCTATCACCCAGAGCTGTATTCATCTGAGGTACAACTGGGCTAAAGGATCTGCTTCCAAACTCACTCATGTAGTTGTTGGCAGACCTCAGTTCTTAACCATATGAACCTCTATAGTCTGCCCGAGTGCCCTCAGAATGTAGTATGGCTTTCCCTAGAGCAGCAGTCTGAGAGTGAGAGAGAGTGAGAGCGGCCATTATGGAAGATGCTAATGTACCATCACTTCTGCTGTATTCACTTAGATCAACTCTGATACTTTGTGGGAGGGGTTTACACATGGCTGTTAAAACCAGTAGGTGGGACTCACTGGGAGCCACTCACTGAGAGACTGGCTACCACAAAGTGGACTAACTAGAGAATGGGAGGAGATGAATTAGAGACAGATAATACCAAAAACTCTTTTGAAGAGTTTTGCCATAAAGGAGAAACAACCTTAAACTTACAGAAAAGTTGCAAGTATAGTACAAAGAACTTTTTTCCCTGAACCATTTAAGAGTAATTTGCCAATATGATGTCCTGTCATTTCCAAATTCTTGAATGTGTATTTCTTCCAAACCAGAATATTTTCCTACATAACCCCAGTAAACCTAAAACCAAACCCCAATGCAACCATCAAAATCAGGAAATTAATATTGATACTACCATCTTATCCTCAGCCCCATTAAGTTTTGTTCCGTTAGTGTCCTTTTTTGCAAAAAATTCTAGTTCTAAATTATACATTGTAATTAGTTATGTCTCTTTCAGTCTGGAACAGTTCCTCAGTCTTTATAATTTTCATGAACCTGGCAGTTTTGAAGACTATAGGCCTGTTATTTTGCAGTGTCCTGAATTTGCATTGGTTAGAGATTTCCTCATGATTAGATTCAGATTATGCATCTTTGATAGGAATACCTCAGAAGTGATGCTGTGTTTGTCTCATTGTATGCTGTTAGGTGGCACATGATTTCAGCTGTCTCATTACTGATGATACTAACTTGGATTGTTTGATTAAAGTGGTGTCTGCCAGGCTTCATGACTATAAAGTTACTCTTTTTCCCTATGTAATTAATAAATACCTTGTTAAAACTTTTGATTTCTTCATTTATTTGTTTATATCATTAAGGACTTACGGTTTTCTCTTTTAGTCAATGGATGTTAATCCATTACTATCATAATTTATTTTGATGCTCAGTTCATGTCAGCTAATGCCAGGGGGAGCCTCTTCAAGCTAGCTTCTATATCCTTCTGACATGTCCACTCATTCTTTAAGCACTTACTTTCTGGCACCAAAAGATATTCTAGTTTATCTTGTACTGTCTGTGCCCTGCTCTGGAATCAGCCATTTCTCCAAAAGCCCTATTTCCTTTTAGTGAAGAATGGTATTAGAAACCAAAATTTGGGATCGTGCTGCTCCCAGGCCCTTTGAGTAGACAGAGCTAGGGAGTACATACATGTATGTACATACATATATAATTGCACATACATGCATGAATTTGCATCTATCTTTATATGTAAATATATAGTTAAAAGCATGAGTTCACGTCAGTACTTCCTATTTCAGTTCAATACCATATGATTCATTTTATATTTATACCTCCTTTCCATATTTGGACCTCTTTTCTCTGACAGTAAGTAACGTGACTCCCATTATCCATAACATATACATATATTTTTTAATTTGATTAGACCCTTATATATACCAGTCTCCCATTTCTGCTTTCTCTTCCTCACAAATCCTCTTCTCACATCACTTGGGCTTTGGTACTTATGCTGGGTCACTCACCTTTGTGGACACTCTCCTCACCCCTGTTGGATTTGCTTATTCCTTGTGCCAGGAGGGCCTTCTGCAGGGATGTTCTCCTCACCCCACTTGTGCTCAGTAGAACGTGTCAGGCTGCTGCCACTCACACACCTCCCACTCCATGGAAGCCTTCCTCATCCCTTTTAGACTCTTACACCTTGCGCCAGACTGCCCATCTGCAAGGATACCCTCCTCACTCAAAGTGAGTTGTAATTTCCAACGCTTAGGTGCCCTCCCATGCAGTTGCCCTCCTCATCTTGGTTGGGCTCCCAGTACCCCACTCTAAGCCACTCTTCCACTTAGATTATCCTCCTCACTTCTCACGGGTTCTAACATCAGGCCATCTTCCTATGTGGACATCCTTCTTACTCCATTTGGACTCTGACATCTTACTTGGATCTGCCCTGCCCAGATGCCCACCTTGCCTGGGCCCACATAGTGGCTTTTGAACTGAATCCTTGTGGAAGCGAGAGAAAGGAAAGGAAGAGAAAGATGAAGCTCTCCTGGCATACTTTTGTTTTCCCTTCTCTAGCTTAAACAAAGGGAGACATTAGTGGTTCAATGGTAGAATTCTCTCTTTCTGTGTGGGAGACCCAGGTTCAGTTCACGGCCAGTGCACCTCAAATGCAGCTACCACCTGTCTGTCATTAGTGGATTGTGTGTTGCTATGATTTCAACAGAGCTTCCAGACTAAGACCAGGAAGAAAGGCCTGATGATCTGCTTCTGAAAATCTGCCAGTGAAAACCCTGTAGATCACAAAGATCTGATCTGCAGCCCTTCATGGTATGGTACAGGACTGGACAGTATTTCGTTCCATTGTGCGTGGGGTCGACCATGAGTTGGGGCCAACCTAATGATGGCTAATGAGGCTTAACAACAGCTTAAACAGCCCCAGTTTTTTTAACTGTTTCTCACACCATGTTATTTCTGAAGGGTAGAGTAATAAGACCACGACAGCAGATGGGTTATGGAAGACTAAATTGCTTTCTTCTTTGATATACAGATCAATTGTTCGTTCTAAAATATGCATCCTGAGATTTCCTTATTTACGTTTTAGGCTGAGATAAATTGTATGATAATTTTATAATGGTTATAATATATTTAGTTATTCATCTTTATCATAAAAATCAACTTTTAGGAATGTTCTAATAGCTCTATTTAATGATGATGGCATTGGATTAATAAAATCAAACTTTACAGGATTTTAAAGTAAAAATATTGATTTACCTTATATTTTGCCTTTTGCCTGTCAATTACATATCTTATCTGTTTTAGGTATGACTTTAGCTTTTCCAGCTTCAGTTCATGATTCTCTGATTTGCAGTAAGACATTTCAAATTCTATACAAAAATGAAGAGGTTGTTTTAAATGATGTTATGATCTTCAAAGTTAAAATGTTGTTGGATGAAAAAAAGGTATGTCTTCATATATATTTAGATGAATATTTTTTATAAGACTGAAGGCATATTTCTAACTTTCTATAAATATTCAAAAAGTTTCTCACATTGTAATTTTTCTTCAGATTGAAGAAACCCTTGAGGAAATTAATTTTCTGTTAACCTTGGATCTACACTTCACAGATGGAGATTATTCGTAAGTAGACTTATCAAACAATTAAAAAATCATTAGGTGCTCGTAACGGTTATCTGTTCCTATTAGAGTCCCCATTTTCTTCTTAGAGTCCAGCCTGTTGCCTTGTTGTTTATTTTGAACTACTTCTGTCTTTTAGGGGAATTTCATGAGCATGGCTATGCCTGCTCTGTGCCCATGTTGATTCCATGTACCCCAGGTAGGAAATTCAGACAAGTTGAAGAAATATGAAACCGTTTGCTGAACTCTAGAAATTGCTCTGTTGATATAATACCACCGCCATGAGGCATTTAAATGTAACTGAGCTCTCTTGCACTATGTCACTGGCTAATCTTTCTTAGTGGCATGAAAGATGCCTTTTTTAGGTGAGACTTTTTTGATATTCTGAGTTACCAAGACTGATACTCTGAGACTTAGCAGTTGTCACCAGTTCATTAATTTCTAGAGCCCTTGAGGGTTTTAGGACTGGCTACCCTGAACCTGCCCACACACCTGGACATAAAGACATATAATTTAGGGACATACTGTATGTACTTTTATTTCTTAAAACAAGAATTAGAGATCCATTTAACAATTTTATTTTTGAAGGTTTTTTTTTTTTTATTTCAAATGCAGTTTTAGAAATACTTTCTGAAAGTTGTAGATAAATTCATACTGCATATAGGATAAATGACTAAGCAGTCACATTACTGAAAGGTTTACTTTAGATGTTCTCTTCACTATCGTTGAGAATAAGAATTTTTCACATGGTAGCTAATGCTCCTCTTTAGGACATTTTGTTCAAAGAACTCCTTAAGGAATGCTTTTTTAACCAAATCAGAATTCTGTAAGTGGGGTAAGCTAAAAATGAGTAGGTATTTCATCAGCTGTAGGTAGTTGTAATTTATGTATCAGTAAAAGAATAATTTATTTGTATACAATTTTTATGACATTGTTTCAAATATTTTTGTATGTATAGATCTAATGCCAGACTATCTGTAATCAAGTTATCGCCAATGGCTTATTTTTGAACAGCATTTAATAACAAAGTTTTATACAATAAAAATAATTTGAAATAACTTTTGGGGTTTGTTATAATAGAATTTGACTTAACCTATGTTATACCTTGTAATAAATAGTATTCCCTGTGGAGTAAAATTTAGTATAATATTTCTGAAGTATCAAAATGATCCCTGTTACCGGAGCATTAGTGAAAAAAGTCCATAACATAGACTGATAAAAATCTATAGATTGGCTCTGATTATTTTCTTGTTAGATTTCATATCTTGTCTAATCAAATTTAATACTTTAAAAACTACTCATTCTAAGTTTTTAAAAAGTAATAAGTAACTAAATGTTTTTGATAGCTTAAGCTACTATACAGAATATTGACTTTTACTAAATATCCCATACTTACATGCAAATACATTGCTTTTTATAGGGCAGATGATTTGAACACCTTGCAACTAATAAGTAGCCGAACATTGAAGCTGCACTTTAGCCTCCATAGAGGCCTTCATCATCATGTTAATGTTATGTTTGATTATTTCCACCTTTCTGTTGTGTCTGTTACAGTCCATGCATCATTGGTTGCACTACACCAGCCACTAATAAGGTAAATTTAACCAATACTGTAGTGCTTATTGATGTAATGTCTTTCATTTTTATAGTGAAAACATATACTTTGATAAAGATTACTGAAGTAGTAAGGAACTTCTAAATTCCTAATTAAGTAAATATTTTCATTTTATACTAAAGTAATAAAATAATAAATTTAAAGAGTATGGAAACATTAGATTGATAACTTTTCATTATAGAAATATGGAGCAATCATTTTCCAGTCCCGGATAAGTTGACCAAGAAAAATAATGCAATCAGGAAATAACCATACAGCATTGTTTAGTTTGTACCTGTTTTTATGTAATATTATAATGTAATTACTCATTGTCTGCAAAAGTATATTAATTTTTCTTAATTTTTTCTTGGTCTCTTCTCTAGATGGGCTGATTTTATCTTCTTAATTCTGTACTATACAGAAATTTTTTTTTCTAAGTCATTAACCAATTTTATGTATTTATGATTTTTAAATTATATCATGTACCATTTTAGTTTAAAAGATATAATATTCTGGATCATAATAAATGCACTGCGATGATTATTTCTTGCTGCCTGCTTCATGGGGAGATGGATTATCTTTTATTAATGTAAGACTACAGTTCATGCTCTTCAGTTTTTATAGTAAAACATCCTTGTGTTACAGGCACTTTTAAAATCAGTAACTTACGTGAAAAGACTCCTAATTGATTTCACTTCTGAACTGTCTATCATTTCAGACAACTAATATTAAGGGCAATACATAAAGGATATGAGGTTAAGCTGATTTTCTCAGAAAGCTGAGTAGGTAGTTTGTACAATTACCCTCAGAATTTACAAAGACAATACAATTTAACATATTGCCCTCAAGTAACGGCCTCCTGTGGCATAAATCTTTATATTGTTTTAAAAACTATAATCAAGAACCTCTTCTACTGTGTTGCCGCATGATCCCTTACATCTTGACGCAGTTCTTCAGAGCATGAGACGGGAAAAGTTTGTTTCTCCTGACAACTCGCTTTGCCTTTCTTATTCCATAAAATCAATATAACTGGTTGTTAAAGTATAACCATCAAAGAAATAATATACCAGATTACTTTTACGTGAATTACACATTAGGTTTTAATGCTAAAAGTTTATCTCTTTATGAAATAAATTCCTAAGTTTTCTGAATCTTCTTTTTGTAGTTTCATTAAGAGTCTCTAATTAAACTCCTTCAACTATTCCTATTTTAAGATGCACTAAGACTGTCTTTGTAACACTGGCTTAGTTTCTCTCCCGAAAGATGTACACACAGTTCATAGAGGTTAGCTCAGCTTATTAGTGTTACTTTTTAAAGCCCTGATTAAATAGAGTAGTGATATTTACATCACTAATCCTAGTGAGTTCAGAGTGTGCTTCCTCTTGCAATGCAGCAGCTTTTGCCCCAGACTAGTAGGAGAAAGGGGCAGTTCATCTCCTAGAGACCATTTACTGGAAGGAGAAGACATTTTGGGCTCTGAATCAGAAGCCAAGAGGATTAACTGTTGGCTCTAGTTAGTCACTGGAGGAGAACATGAGGTGCCTGCAACAGCTGAGGTTGCTGTTCTTTGTTTAGCTGCCATGGACCCTTGTATCCCCTCTTATGCTGCTAGAACCCTTGCCAGGGAAGTAGCACCTTCCCCTGCCTTTCTTTGCCTATAAATGAGAGGTTGTAAAAGGGAAGCAAATAAAGGGTAAGAGAAAGCTTTTTGCTGGTGGTGCTGGTAAAGGGGTTATATTAAGGGTAATATTCCTCACTATTTATGCTTTAACAAGTTTTTCTTAAAGTTTTATTATAAGTGAATTTTTTTTTTTTTTAAATAATAGCAAAGTTTATTGAGTTCATAAGAATGTGCTTGACACTGTGATCTCCATGTGGAATTCTCTGGGGAAAGACTTAAGAACTTAATTGGCCCTTCTCCCTATAGGTAGTTTTTTTTTTTTTTTAATCCTCTAAACCCAATGAAAATTTTTTTAATTTATAATTTTATCTTCTTAAATGTCATTTTTTATTTAAAATAATTTCTATTACCAACCCAACTATAGACATTAAATAAGTTATTTAAAATAAGTGGGCTAGGACTTCTTTCTTTGCTTGTTTTTTACATGATCCATTTCTTATTAAAATTTTTTTTAAGGATAACTTTTGTGACACAGTTTTGAAAAACACATCGTAGCAAGTGGAATTTACCATTGACTTGCGACTGACTCCCTTCTTTGCTGGGATATAGATATTTTATTTTTGTCAAGCAAATTGATTTTGCAAATGCAAGCTGCTCTCTGCTTATGGCAAAAATGATTTACTTTTCTTTCTTTTCCCTTTTGCCAAACTATCAAACAGTCCAAATGCTTTGGTCTACAACAACAAAATATAATGTTAATACTAGTAGAAGTATTTTATAATATGTGATTGAGATGGTGCCTTGAAGCATTTGTAAAGATTCTCTTAATAGAGCTTATAGTCTTTTAGTGAAGAGAATTAAGAGAAGGAAATATCTTATTTTTGAGAAATGGAGACAAAGTTGATTTAGTAATTTTTCTTTTTCTGCACTTAAGTGGGAGCTCTTTATTTCTGTAAATAGCTTGCATATTTGTTAACTTTTTTAAACTTGGGAACCAGTTCTGACAGATCAGTATTTCCAAATCAAAGCTTGATCCCCATTTGTCATTTAGCCACTCTGGATCCCACTTTGTTTTATCTTTAGTATCCTTTGAGACTCCCTGAATTCCAACCACACAGAAGCAGTCTCAAGCATCTGGTCTTAATTTTTTTTTATAATCATCATGTCTTCATAATAATTCAAATTATCAAAGAAGAAATTATAAAATTACTTTAAGAATACGTTAGAATTCATAACCTTGCACCCCCTTTGCTCTTTATTTTCTTCCTATAAGATTTTCTTTTATAAATATTCAACTTAAGTTCAAGTAGACTATTATGACAATAATAATGTAATACTTATTCCTCCAGCTTTCCTCGTCCTGTGAAGACTACTTGGTTAAATAGAAATGCACCAGCGCAAAACAAAGATTCTGTGATTCCTACTCTTGAAAGTGTGGTCTTTGGTATTAACTACACAAAACAGTTATCACCAGATGTAAGAACTGAATATGTTTATAAATCCTTTTTTCCCTCTTACTTCAAATGAAATATTTTTAACTGTTTTATCTGTGAATGTGGTATTCCTTTTATTAATTATTTGAGCCCAGCAACGTACAGATCTAATTGAACATGATCTTAACAAATTGAGTGGTTCTAGTTTATTATGAAAACTAACCTGATACTTTAGGATTTTACCAGATTTAACCATTTTAACTTGCCACCATCACCCCTTGCTCCCTTAAGAGCACTGTTATAATCAGTTGCCATAGTTGAGACCTAGCTTGAAATTGTACAATTACAGCCATTATTCCCCTGAAAGGAAAAAGAACTTATAGTATAAAAGCATATAGAGTATCTGTCCCCCAGTCCAAATGTAATTTGATTTTCAAATTATCAAAACATCATAATTTAATATGCTTATTTTAAAAAGAATCTACCATAACTGGAATTACTAGAGTTGCCTTTCATATGTTTATTATTTATATGAACAAGAACAACCCTAAACTTTTGCTGATTTCTTTTAAGTTTTAGAATAACTAAAATAATTGATAAATGTTTAGGGTTTTTTTTTCCTTTGTTTTTCTGGATTTGAAGTATAATGCTTTAAGATTTTTGGTTACTAACACTCTGTACCCAAAATCTCAAAATCTATTCTTTGTTTAGGGATGCAGTTTCATCATTGCAGACTCCTTTCTACATCATGCCTATAATTTTCATTATACACTTTGTGCCGCTTTGCTGCTAGCCTTCAAGGGATTGCACAGCTACTTCATTACGGTAACAGAAGAGATTCCCTCTTGTCAGAAACTAGAACTGGGTATGTTGAAAGTAGTTGGTTCTATCCTATAGGTCAATTCATTCTCTCCATTCTTACATTACTAGTTATCAGCGTAGTTTTTCTATGCTAACACTTTAATGTTTATGTGCTTTACTTCTACTCCTCTCTCAATTCTGTCTTTTTCAACCTTTGGTAATCATTTTCTGCAATGTGAAATTTTTTTTATAACATTGAGAAATAACTTCTTGCTGCTAAGTTTGAAATGAGTCTTTCGATAGAATTTTAACATGTTTGTCAATATAATATTGCTCTTAAAATATAACCAGAAAGCTTACTAGAAAGCAAACGTAATTATCTACAAAATCATGGGATATTAAATTAAATCCATACCTCCAGATATTTAACAGTCTATCCAGATTGTAGGTATTTGGGACATTTTCTGTACATTTGGCTTTAAGTGATCTTAGATCTCGGTTCCTTTTATTTCACTTTAGGGAATACTAACATCAATTACTTAGTGTTTTACCATTTTGAAAATTATTTAAATCAAAAAAATCAAGTTTCAGTTTTAGTCAAATAATAATACTGCATATATATTATAGTACATAATGAAAATTATATTGCTTTGATTTTGTATACCATTTTCTGTTTGCATAGTGCTTTTACATATATCATTTCACAGAAGATAAATTATTGGAATTATCCAAATAAAGTTTTTATTCAGACTTTTTATGACAGTTTTATTAGGCTTTTATTTTCAAACATTAGCTAATAGGTTATCATAAAAAACATTTTAATAATCTCTTCAGAATAAATTATTTTTATTATATGCTTGGATAAATCAGGAATCGCTTTTTAATTTTTACTTAATCAGTATTCTTTATTCCTTTGTTTCTGAAGAATCTCAGTGTATAACAAGATCAATGAAATCTCTAGTGACTATTATTGAGTAGTTCTTATGTTTGAGGCTAATTAGCTTATTTTATAATTGCCTGTTTTGAGATACAAAAGAATTATTAGAAAGTATGTGGATTTTTACCTCACTTGAATTTAGCTGTAGAAAAATACTGGATATTGTGCTGCTGCCTATCAGCGACTACTCCAGTGGATTTGATTGATTCCATCAGTCACACTTTCTTGACTAGACACAGGTTTCACTAAATTGACTGTTTAAAACACTCGATGTGGTTATTCCAATGTGTATACAAGTAACAGGAACATTTATTTATTCTTTTTTTTGCTCGTGTATTCTTCCACAAAACAAAATCGAGTGTGTAAAGGATTGCTTTTTGATTATTAGTCTCTGAATTACTTTTTGCCTTGCTATTTCATGTACTTAGAATGCTCTATTTCCCTAAGGAAAATCCTGTAGAACACTACCTCAAAATGTTAATTATTTTTAATTTTTTTTAATGAAGTAATCATTTATAGAATAGACTAATATAGAATATTCCTTATTCTCAATTAATGAAAAAATTATTTCTCCAATTATTTTCTTAATTTGATTCTTGGAACTCAAAAACATTTTCCTAGGAGAAGAATATTATAAATTTTGGTTAGGTTCAATAACCAGACCACAAAACTACTAAACCACAATATTAATGAAGAACGGTATCATGTGCCTGAAAAGCAGTATCATAAAAAATAGTGGTGTGAAACTTAAAAGCCATGTGTAATGGTATTTTTACAAGATAAGTTTTGATAAAGATGCTAGAGTAGAATTCAGGGAGGTGTATTATCTTATAGTGCTTAAGAATTCATGTTCGAAGCCATTTCTGTTACTTACTAGCTTTGTGACCATAAACACAAAGTGGTTTCCATTCCTCAAGGTGGGAAGATTAGAAGTAATCAGGTGCAGTGGAGGAGTAAGGAGGAAAGATGAGGACATACAAAAGGTATTATGGTATAAAAGAGCTCTAGGAGTATAATTCCCTTGGACTTTTTATGAGCACCTGCTTTGTCTGGTAATACACTAGGTGCTGAGGAAAGGATAGGGTCTCTGTCTTTGAAGCGCTTTGAGCTCTCCTCTTCCCTTTCCTCTCACAGCAACAGTAATAAATTATCAGTTCAGCATTGGGACGGGCAGGGCAAAGTCACCCACCAAGACAGGGCTTCTTGTGGTTTTAATATAGAGAGACATAAATAAGATGAGCCTATAAATGCATATAATTTTCAACATGTAATATTTATGAATGAAAAAACACATGAGCCACATTTTAACTTAGAATAAAATATATCTCCCTAGAGGAAGTATGTTTATTGATAAAATTCAAGATTAATAATTGAACAGAAAAATTTATTTTTTCAAAGGCAAGGGTTTGTTTCAAATAGCTTAGGTAATATTAGCACTTTATTACTGATTTAATAATCTAGCTTCAGCATAATTCATTTATTCATTAGGTTTTTAATATTCTCTTAGGTAAGGATGGCTTTTTCATCATGTATATAAGTGTAGTATAGAAATTATCATAATTAAGAGATCCCTTAGGACTAAATGAATGTCAACTTTATTTCAAATTATTTGATTATATTTTATCAGAAAATAAAATTCTGAAGCAGACTCTATTTTTACATGAGTAAATAATAGCAATAAAATACAATTATTAGTACCTTACACAGAATATTTACTTACAATATATTTATTGAATGAGTGAAATAGCAAAATACTGATTTTTTTTGTTACTTGAAAAAGTACAAGCATCAACACATAGCTTACAGCAGTTTCCTAGGAATTTTTAAAATCAAGACTCATCCTCAATAAATAATTTTATTATAATTTTAATTATCAGTAAATGGTAATACTTTGTGTTTTTAAACCTTTCTTTACTACCTATATTTTCTTTTCTATTCATTGTGAATTATAGTTTATTCTTGAATACATCTTCCAGGAGAACATCTAAAAATGCTATTAACTATTTAAAAGTATTACATACTCTGGACTATTAGCATTGTTTATTTTTATCTTAGCAAAATAAAATTGTAGGTACTAGAATGTATTTCCATAAAACACTGTTGACTAAAGATCACTCTACTCACCAGTTTTAATAAGTACATAAAAAGTCATTCTTGATTAATGGGTGTATTATGTTTTCTTTTATTATTTAGCACTTACCTTGAATTTTTAAATAAACATATATTTAAAAGTCTTAAACCCCAACATGTTTTAAAATTTTATCTAAACTCTATTCCCTGTTTTAAAATAATGCCTTATACTCTTCTTTCTACCTTTGCCTTTTTTTTTTCTTTAGATGAATGATGTACATTTTTTTAATGGCATACAGTTAAATATTGGTTTGATGCAAGAAACACTTAAAGAAAATGGAAGTCAAAGGTTCTGGAATCTAGGCCTGGCAAATCACTTAACCTTTCTGAACCTCAGTGTTCGCACTTCTAAAGGTAGAGGATTGACCTACCTGATCACTAAGATCCTAGCCAACTCTAAAATTCTGAGTCTAAGAAATTAAAACATAAAAATAATATTGGATTATTAAATGTTGAGTGGCACACATCCTTTTAAGTAGAAAAAAGAACAAAGTAATACAAACTCGAATGTACATCATTTGTAATTCTAATAAGCAGATTAACTAACTGAATGATTCTGCTTCAGTGTTCTAATCTAACTGCACTATCAGGTATTTGGTAATACAGTCTATTACTAACAAGTTGGAAAATTCTAGTAAATTTTGTTGAAAAAGGAATATAGTAACTAGTGCTGTGTGCAATCCTTATAACTAGCCAAGGCCAACATGCAGGTCCTATATGAGCGCCTTCTCAGAAGAAAACAGCCACGAACCCAGAAAGACACCTGTCTAGGTATGTTTACAAGTAGGTTAAATAAATATTCCCTTTTAATTAATGTGAAATTTTGCTTTAAAATAGTTTATCTAATTTCATAAATACATATTTATCAATATAGTATGTTTCACCTTCATTTTAGAATTTACTTTTAGAATCAATTTAGTTTGTAGATAAGCTTTGGTTAATCTTTTAATTAATTTATAATATTGAAGTTTTTATTTAAACCTGGGAAATGGTAAATGCAAACATCTCTTTGGCTTTTTCCATATTCTTTCTAGAGTTCTTATAAAGAACACTTTTTGGAAGCCATGTTTATTGCCAGAATTTGTTGCTTGAATAATATTTCCTTCAATTTGATCAGAGTAATTTTATCTTTTTATAGGCGTAATAATAAAGAAATGTGATTTAAACATTGAAGCTAGTTTCATACATTATAAAAGTAAAGAAAGGAAACATCCTTAGTGTCTGGTTTTGATTTTTCAGTCAGTTTGCATTCAATTTTACTATTCTAGCGAGAAAAAAATTCAGTACTACCCATATGTGTTTCATATGTTAAATAAAATATTCCCATCTCATTATTTTATTGCTATATTTCCATATATATTTTGGATTTTTGCTCTTGAATATCAGTAATAATTACTTTACTGTCTTTCCATGATAAGCATGTTGAAAGTTTTTACTTTGCGTTGAATCAACCATCACAATTACATAATTAGAAGTTATTAAAATCACAATATTTGTTTCTTAGTTTTCAGAAGTATGAACAAAAAGAAATTGAAGAGCCAAAATCTTTCTCAACATTTCACAGTTGAAAACTAGCTCAGGAATATTTAAGTTGGGTCACTTTTCACCAAAATTGTTAAGAGCAAAACTGGTTTTTTTATCAGGGAGGAAAATGGAAAGGTTGAAAATTATTGTAAACATTATAGTCATTCTTTTTGAAATATAATTTTATATTCTCTAACTGTAAAATAATTCATAGTCTGAAATTGAGCATTTGTGACATGTTTTAGTGTTCTTTTTAGTAATTAAAATATATTTCTAATTTAAACTATTGTATTGCTAATTTCTATCAATTTATATGTGAGAATTCTAAATGGTTTTACAGAATGCTGCTTTACATAATAAGGCCTATATAAAGAAAGGACCAGTTTTTGGTTGGGTAGACAAAGGCTTGATTCAGAGCTAAAGTATAATGAAGTTAGTTAAATAATACTTTTTTTGCGATATCTTTTATCCTTAAAAGCTGACATTGTATTAGCATTTTCTGAGCTATGTTATAAATATCTGTTGAATGAATGTATATGGATGGATGGATGGATTTAGAAAATTTAAGTGCATGGACTGTTTGACCTCGTACACCCACTTCTGTCAATGTGTATCATAGAAATAAGCACTAGTACGTAAAAATATATGTCTAAGCATTGTTCTTAGTGGGAAAACTGTGAAAACAAGTATAAATGCCCATCATTTGGGCAAAGAGTGGAATATGTTGTAAATTATGTTGCACCCACACCACGGAATATTATGTAGCCACTTAAAAAATGTTTTAGAGCTGGCTACCAGAATTCATGGAGTACTGTGGACAGAAAAAAGAAAAATTCAGAAATATGTATAAAATACAATCCCATTTTTTTCAAACGAAGTAACTCAAAAACTTCCATGTATTTATATATACATCTGAAAAATAACAAAGGGTATGTTCTAGACTGTAATCTTTGATTGGCAGGAGGAGCCAAGCCCCCCCCCCCAAAATGTATATAAGATAATGATTACATTTATACATTTCTATAAAATTATGTAAATGGATATATATATATCATTTTAAGAAGAAAAAATTAACATAGATTTTAAAACTCATAATTAAAAATATTAAATGATTTTAAAGGCATTTTAATTCAAGATTTTGAACTTCAGTTTTACTTTTAAACATTCCTCAAGATGTTGTTTACATTGAAGTAGCTCCCACTAGTCAAAGTGCAAATGTACCAGTTTATGCATTTAGTCTATGTAAAGATTGTAAAGATATGTATGTAAAGATTAGAAAAATGCATCAAAACTCAAAACTTTAAAAAATTGGTCCTTTTTTTTTAATTCAGAAGTACGTTATGTAACCCACTAAGACAAATTTTACTAATTCTCTTTTATCACAGGAAAAGATCATGAGTAATGTGAAAACAGATGTTGGCATCTGGAAGTTGTGATTTTAATACAGGGTCTGCTGTTGTTTTTTTTAAGTCTTGGAAAACCTAATATTAGAAGCCACTGATTTGTCTGACAGTGAAATGATTTACAAAACCTTAGTGAATTTCTTTAGTTGTCAGTTAATTGACCAAATTAGTGATCTATTTCTCATCACCTAGTTAGTGATACCATTTCTTGGTATATGTTAATATCTAAATAGTTGTATGTATATCTTTTGGAAACTTCAAAGTATGTATGTGTCCCATTAGTTTTATTCACCAACAGAGTATTTGTTGTTCATATTATAGCTTGATTGTATTTTCCACATGATCATAACTGCTTGTTTTATCAAATTTAAATGTTTATAATTCTTTTTATAAAGCAGTAAATATTCATTCCGCCTTATGGGATAGTAAGCTGATGGATGAATTCAGGCATGCCATAGAATGTATTCTTGCATTTGTGTGAGAATGATCAGAGTCTCTTTCAGCAACAAGATTATGGGATTTTGTTTGATCATAACTACAGTTCTATAAGAGAATTCATTTTAGTTTTATTTCTAGTTAAAAACTAAATATATCTAAAGATGATATTTCAGGCGTTGATGAAATTCCTTTCCTACAAAAAATAACCAATTAATAAATCTTATATCCTGTTAGTTTCTGTATTCTTTTATATATTCCCATTTTAATTGTAAATTAATGTATACACTCCTTTATAGATGATTATAGCATACATTAAATAAATCAGATTGTGTGGTAAAAATTTGCCTCAGTTTAAGAATATTTTATAGAAAACTGAATTTATTCAACTAAATTAGAAACTTAACTTTTTATTGAAATGAATTTTATATTTATTTTCATTAGTCTACACTCCAGGTATGTTTTAAATATGTGTCAGTTATAAAGATTAATTTGACTTGAACTTCAAAGCAGTAGCTTTTGCAAAAAGCAAGGCAGGATTGCATATAATACAAAATACTAAACTTTTACTGGAAATTACAAAAGGTGAAATAACAGTAAAACCTAATTATATGTTTTGTCTGTGACACAGTTGGGCAAGTTACTTATAGTCAGTATTTTTATGACCGTGTTAGCCTCTTGCAAGAACTGATACACGCTATTTAATAATCATAACAGAATTTAATCCTTAATTATCATGCTGTCTAAATGATTAAGGTGTTTATGTAAATGTATTACATTAAAATTTAATTTATTGAATATAGTCCAGATATTTCTCAGTCTTCTGGCTTTTAAAGGGAATTTATTCATTTATTTAATTGTAAAAATAGTTTTCATACCTAATACTGAAATATTTCCTCTAATTACTCTTTACTCTTTTCAGAGGAAATGGATGTAGAAGCTCGACTTACAGAACTATGTGAAGAAGTTAAGGTACTTGGATTTTTTAAATTTACATTGTCAAGTTATTTGAGTGGTTTCTGTTTCTTATTCTCAATGTTTTGTCTAAGAAAACTTAAATTTAAATTAATTATCTTTCCTAAACTGCAAAGATAAAATGGTTGATCATGGTAGAATTACAACTTAGTTGATCAAAAGACAAGTAACTTTAATATGAAATTAACTTATTTTTTAAAATGTATATTCTGCATATAAATGAAATAGGAAAGACAATTAGCTGATCAGAAATGTACATGTTCCTCTATTAGTTAATTGAAAGGGTTTCTGGACAAATTTTAAAACATCACTTAAACTTTTATACTTTTGTAAAATGATATTGTTTAGAAATGAAAAATTGTCTTATTTCAAAATATCAACGTATGTCTCAGACCCATTTTTCCAGTTCATTATTGTGATTAAATTGAGAATTTTCTTGTTTTTTTGCCAAGGAACTAAATGTTTTATATATTGAAAATCACTATATATTTCATTCTCAGTCAACTACATTAATGGAATACATTAGAGTCATCAGTCAAACAAAAATATATATTTGAAGCTGGGATGTATTTCTGCATGTAAATTTGAATGAAGACCTAGGCCACCTTGAGAATCTGAAATGTTAATTACCTTTCCCTTAGAAAATTGTATATATGCAGGATACACAAGTAATTTTATATACGATCCTAGAGGCCTTTTCCCACAGTTAAAATAATTACTCAAAAGAATATTAAACACTTAGAAATAACTTAATAAGATATGTGTGTAATTCATATGAAAAAATCTACAATGTTTTACTGAGAGTTAAAGAAAGTAAACAGACATAAGGTGTTCCTGGATGGAAAGATAATTAATCACTGAAAGATATTAAGTCTTCTCAAGATAATAATTTTAATAATTCCAAATCAAAATCCCAGTGGAATTTGTTAACTTAAATTTATTTTAAAGATTATTTTAGAAAGGGTAAGAATGGCTAAGAAACAGCTTCCGGGCAACCTGGCGCTCTAGGCAGAAGCACCATGCCATCCCTGCACAGCAAAGATCCGAAAAACTAAGTCAAAAAGAGAAAACGGCAATCCTGAAACCCTAAACATCAAATGAAGAGGTAAAGAACTCAGCCAAGCACTGAATGGAATAAGAAACTGACAGAGAACAGAGAGCAAAGAGAGATACGTGCAAAGGTCCCCTATCAGCTAACACAGCACAGATCCGCCATCTTGGACTCCTGTCAGAGATCAGCAAGCAGAGGGTACAAGAAAGCAGCTTCAGGGAGCTTCCAGCAGGAGACAGAACAACCAGTAACCAGTGATAGATGCTTTCCCAACCCGCACCCTTCTTCACCCCTACTCAGCCTGCTCTCCTTCCTGAAGCCAGTTTCTTGGCTGGGAAGCACCACCTTCACTCTGGTGTTGCTTGGATTACACCGGCCTGCACTGGCCAGCTCCCTAAGTGCCATTTGTTGGCTGTTGCTGTTGCTTTTTTCACTTCTTTAGATTTCTTCCTTCCTTCTCACCACCTCCCCCTCTTTTCTCTCAAATACCTGGCTCCATGCGCGGTCTTTGCTTCTTCCTAAAAGGCTGTGAAACACCACTCGAATGTGAAACTGCTTCCCAGCCTGTGCTGCCACACTAGTGGGATCCTGGGGCTTTTTGTTTGTATGTTTTGAATTGTTTGTTTGTTTTCTTTTTCTTTTCTCGATTTGGGAGCCTGTTCTAGCCAGGCAGTACTGCACGGTTTGGGACCAACCCCCTCAGTTTGTGCAGATGCACAGAGGGATCCCCAAGGGCATTTCTTTTTTCTTGTATTTTTTTTCGGGGGGCTTTTTTTTTTCTGTTTTTCTTTGGGGGTTTTTCTTGTTCTTCTTTTAAATTTGTTTGTTTTGTTTTCTTTTCCCTATTTTTCCCTTTTTCTTTCTTCATTACTCAGTTTCTCGTCTCTCTATACTTTCCTTCTCTTCCTGTCTCCTGAATACCTCACGCTGAGTGACACCTCTGTCCCTTCTAGGCAGGCTATACTTCACGGCCTGGAAGCAACTTCCCTAGACCTCACAGCTGCACCGGAGGAATCCTTGGGAGCTTTTCTTTTCCTCTTTCTTTCTAATTTTTATTTATTCATTTTTTTCTTTTCTTTTTATTCTTCTCCTTTTTGTTTTTCTCCTTTTCATAGTCTTTCATCTCTCCACTTCAATGGCAAGCTCCCCTAGCACTCTTTTTTGTTTGTATGTTTTTGGCTCCCATTCCTCTCTGCTTTCTTCCATACCTGTCTTAGCCCGACACATCACAGTCTCCCCCCACCATCACGCCTGCCTGCACCGTGCGCTGAACATCACACCACCAAGCAGCCCAGGCGCGGCCTACTGGAACCTGCCCTGCATTGATTACCGGACCACCCTGGCGCCTGCAGTAAGTGTCACAAACAACTCATCCCAGCAACTCCTCTTCAGGTAGATGTGCCCTGCTGTACCATATGTGAGCGACTGACCCTGCCAATTGGAGACGGAGGCGAAAAGTATTGTGCCCAAAGACGAGCAAACAACAAAGAACACACAGCCTGCCTGCTCAGACATAGCCAAATAAAACAAAAAAGCAGGATGAAACAAACAAATCTACAATGAATAAAGGAGGAAAATAACTACTGAATGCCCCGAAGACAGCAGACAATATCAAAACATTTACAAAAACAGGACAGGACAGTTCCAGTAGGTGTCCAAAATAAAACACCAGATGACCTTCCAGTAGAAGAAAAGGCACTAGAACTACCTGATAGGGAATTCAAATCTCTAATACTCAGAGCTATCCAAGCGTTGAAGCAAAAAGCAGACAAAAATGAGGAAAAAATAGGCAAATTCAGGGAAAAAGCAGACAAATTCATGGAAAATACAGACCAAAAAAATGGAAGAATTCAGGAAAATAATGCAGGAACAAAATGCCAAAATAAATTCACAGGTAGAAATCATACAAAAACAACAATTAGAAATCTAAAATAAACAACAAGATTTCAGAAATGGACAGTGTCATAGAAGGGCTGAGGAGCAGGTTTAAAATGGTGGAAGATAGGATCAGCAAAACTGAAGTACAAACAGTTGGATACAAATCTGAGGAAAAACCAGAAAAAAGAATGAAGAAAAATGAAGAGACCCCGAGAATTATGTGGGATACAATCTAAAGCAAAAATCTGCAAGTGATCAGAGTTCCAGAACGGGGAGAGAACAGAAAACGCAGAGAAGATCACTGAAGAACTGCCGACAAAAAACTTCCCCAATATCATGAAAGATGAAAAGCTGACCATCCAAGAAGCTCAACGAACCCCATATAGGATAGACCCTGAAAGAAAATCACCAAGGCACATCATAATCACACTCACCAAAACCAAAAATAAACAAAGAATACTGAGAGCAGCTCAAGAAAAACAAGAAGTCACATACAGAGGAGAAACAATAAGACTAAACTCAGATTATATGGCAGAAACCATGCAGGCAAGAAGGCAATGGGATGACGTATGCAAAACATTGAAAGAAAAAGATTGCCAGCCAAGAATAATATATTCTGCAAAACTCTCGTTCTAATATGATGATGAAATTAGGTCATTTCCAGATAAACAGAAATTAAGGGACTATGTAAAAACCAAACCAGACTTACAAGAATTATTAAAGGTAGTCCTTTGATCTAAGAACAAACAGCATTATCTCACAGGCTGAATCTAGGATGCAGGATCATACCAGCCAGATACTCATCTAGGAAATGAACTCTCAAGGACTCTCCAAAACCAAAAGAAATACAACAGGGAATCCGAACAATTAATCTGTAAATGACAACAACATCAGAACAATAAAAGAGGGAATAAACGGTGTAGATATAGAACCTTCTAATGGAGAGGAAGGCAAAGTGATACCAAGTAATAATAGACTACTTCAAACTTGGAAAGGTAAGGTTCAATTTTACAGTAACCACAAAAAAAGTGAACAAACCTACTCATCAAAATAAAGAGGAAAAACATAAAGTCTCAGAAAAAGCAAAACCTACAAAAATAAATGAAAAAAAATCCACAAACAAAAGGAATTCAGCACAGGAGAGTAAGAGGAACAAAGAAAAAGTCAGCACCGCAAAAAAAAGCACTACAAAATGACAGCAATCAACTCACACCTGTCGATAATTACACTGAATGTAAATGGCCTCAATGCAGCCATAAAGAGTTGTAGAGTGACAGAATGGATAAAAAAAACAGGCTCCATCAATATGCTGTCTACAAGAGACAAACCTTAGAAACAAAAATGTAAATTTATTAAAAATCAAAGGTTGGGAAAAAATATATCAAGCAAACAACTTCCAAAAAAGAATAGGAGTGGCAATACTAATCTCAGATAAAATAGACTTTAAAACAAAATCCACCATAAAAGACAAAGAAGGACACTATATAATGATTAAGGGGACAGTCTGTCATGAAGACATAACCGTAATAAACATCTACGCACCCAAAGACAGGACTCCAAAATACATAAAACAAACTCTAACAGCACTGAAAAGAAAAATTGACAGCTCCACAATAATAGTAGGGAGACTTCACACCACTCTCAGTAAAGGACAGAACATCTAAAAAGAAAGTCGGCAAAGATACAGAAGACCTAAGGGGCACAGTCAGCCAACTTGACCTCATAGACATAGAGAACACTCCACCCTACAGCTAAAAGTACACATTCTTTTCCAATGCACATGGAACGTTCTCCAGAATAGACCACATCTTAGGCCACAGAGCAGTCCTCAACATGATCCAAAACGTTTAGATAATAAAGTATCTATCTTTTCTGACCACAATGCCATCAAGGTAGAAATTAACA